ATGACCACGTTTTGCGTCCATTGCTGCAATGGAAGCGCTCTGACCCTCGTTGACGTAACTGCCATACAATGAAACCACTGGAAGCGGCTCCAGTTCTGATGGAGGAGGCTTTTTGGATAGCGGAAAATAAAGTGTTTATTGTGTTGTACCTTTTGACTATAGTTTTAAGATGTATTGTATAGTGACCAAGAATCCTCGGCTCTGTAAAGTTAATTCGTTTGAGCCTTATCAAATAAATTAATAACCAACAATCAAGGAGCAATTCAGGAGCAACTAATATCATCAGGCGGAACAAGTCCGTTTCAAAAACATCTGCTATGGCATTATTGGACGTTGAGAAGGCGTTTGACAATGTCTGACATGATGGCCTAGTGTACAAATTGCATCGACAGATCTACCTCGTGAAGATCTTAAAAAACTACTTGTCGGGCAGATAATTCCAGGTCTATTTGAACAATGTCCCCTATGATACGTTCAACGTTGATGCAGGGGTCCCTCAGGGTAGCCTGCTTGGGTCTATCCTATTCAACATTTTCACGTCAGACGTTCCTCCCCTGCCGGGTGGTGGTATCTTATCGCAGATGACACCTCAATTTGATGTGTTCTGATTGATGTATTCTGAATCATATGGAGGTTAACCCGTCCAAATGCTCGGTTATCTCTTTTTGGCGCACAATCTCTTTCAATCAGCACATCTCGTATGCCGTCAAAAAAGCATTCAGAATTCTGGGGTTTATCTTCAGGATTGCCAAAGACTTCAAGGATATATACTGCCTTAAATCGTTGTACTGCTCCTTGTCTCGCTCCATATTAGAATACTGCTCGGTTGTCTGGACTTCTCACTACAACAACAGTGTTCAAAAAGTTGAGTCTATTCAGCGACGTTTCCTGAGATATGCGCTACGTAAACTTCCGTGAACGGATCTCTTCCGATTGCCTAGCTACGAAACTTGTTTGCAATTGATCCATCTGTAGCCCCTGTCGGTCCGAAGAGATTCAGCAAGAGCATTGCTAATTGCAGATATTTTGCAAGGACGCACAAATTGCCCTGTTCTACTTGCGCAAATTGACATCAATGTTCAACCCAAAGCCCTACGGAACAATTCAATGCTGCGCATGTCCATACAGCAAACTAATTATAGCATGTTCAGAGCAATCGGTGGTTAACAGAGACTCTTCAATAGGGTCTCCTCACTATATCTTTGACCTGACTCGCCAGCTACGTAGTCGGAGGTTTAGTTCATTTTTTTCTAGATCCATTTAGTTTGTCTAGCAATGCTCCTTTTTAACGAGATGATTGTTGACTTATTGATGTTTAATTTTAGTACTTTCATGTTTAGTTTAGGTTACATCATTAGGGCCAATAACGCCTGTTGATGTTTAGTCATAAATAAATGACCACACTGCAGCGAACAAGTCCGAGGTTGAACCGTCCAACGTGCAACGCTTGTGTCGTTAGGGATCAACTTTAAGATGGCTGTGTTAAGGGTGAACACCTTGCGGTCGAAGAAAATGTATGGAAAATTTGAATATTTCCATATTTCTTCATTGTTATCTATTTAAATATTTAACAATTATAATGTGTCACATACCACGCAAGTCTTATAAAACTGGTGAATCGATCGACATACAAATCATCAAAATACATTGATTATTGGCCAAGTTATTAGCATTTAAAGTCTGACCAATTTTCGTTGCATTTCCCTGAATTGGCACCCTTCTCGAAAGACGTAGTGCTACGTCAAACAGTAGAAAGGTCTGAGCCTAGGGGCACGAATGGAAGCTTGACGTAGGACCGCTAGTGGACGGAACAAATATGTTAAGCCCTTAGTTCTTTTAATTGATCGATAATCTATTACCTTAACTCCTTCCGTTTTTTAATTGGTGACCTTGAAAATGACCGGTTGTTTTTCGAATGTTGGCATTTTGAACGTTTTGGATGGCTATTGTGTAGCTGATGAAAAATAGTGCTTATTGATACTTGTAATTTTAAAAGTTTGTTTGTGACATAAAATTCTGAATGATGATATTACTACTCTTACCTACATCAGTAAGTAAGGTAAGGTAATAGAAATAAACGATGAATACTTTACATTTAAGATCTGGAATATGTAGCGCAAAGGCCTTGAGTGATCGGAACAAACGTGTTTGCTCTTAGTTCATCTAATTATTTGAAAATCTATTATCTTAACTCCATCTGTATTTGAATTGGTGGCCCTGAAAACGACCGTTTGTCTGTTGATTGTTGGTCCTGAAAAGGATCTTTTGTTTTTCAAATGGCGTCCCTGAAAAAGACCGATTGTTGTTTTTTCTGGTGTCCATCGAAAGGGTTGGTGGAGTTGGAGGGTACGGTACAAATAGGTACTACTCGTTGTTGCCTTTTGGGGCTCCTTTTATGTTGGGGCTATTTGTTGATATTGCTGTTGTATTTGCTTCAGTTGATGAAGAACTAACACGAAATGCATACCAATTGACGTCTTCGGGAAGGTTTAGAACTGGATGATTTCGGCAAGTTTACTCTCTCACGGAAACTCAATGACCTAAAGCTGACAGTAGTTTTCCGAACACTGCTATTGGCACTGATTGATGATTACTTGCTGCTATTTCTCTCCATGGTTAAAAATATATCAGTTTTGTGAACCTGCCCAACAAACATTTTATGATGAATAAGAGCTTCAAGAGAATAGAAGAGCAAGAGAAAACAAGCTTCTTCAGCTAAAAAATTGCTTATTCAGCTGTTGATCAATTCAAATTGTTTGTTGGGTGTTTTACCCACCATATAGAGATCTGAAAAGAAATTCTATAGTGTAGAAATTTAATGGCCCTGAAAAAGGCAGTTTGGGATCCAAGAGATTAACATGCTGGTACTTTTGAGAAGGCGTGCTTACACCACAGAAAAACAGACATAACACTCCTAAGTTGTTCACCGAACAACCATTTAACAGTCAATTTGAAAGTATTTCAGTTGGTAGTACTGCCACCTATGGGGCGCATAGTAAGTTCCCTAACGTTTGACTTTACCGCCATCTGTGCAGCGTACTACCCACCACAGTGTACTCAACAGATGGTGGTAATGATTTAGCGACGATGTTTTAAAGTTGAGAAATATTCAATGTGTTATGCATGTTTGTCTGTGCTTACACAATTGCACAGCGGTTGAAATTTTGCAGATGATCAATGTTGTACTCAGCCTAAAGGAACGACTGCAGTGGAATGTCCGAAAGATGGTGACGCTACTCAGAGAGCCTCAGATTCAGGGTCCTACCAAATTTGTGGTGACCATCTCCGTCGCAAATGAAAATGCCATTTTGGATCGAAGTGAACAAACTGATGTACTTGGGTATCTCCAGAGACAGCGTGATCAGTTGCCTTTCCTGGAGGCAGCATTACGCAGGTGATCATTGTAGTCAAACTCAGCTGAGTAACGTTCGAAGGATGTCGTTTTTTTTCCACACCTGGACCCTACCATCGACCCATCTACTCATGAACCGGGGACCAACGGCTTTACCTCCCTTCCGAAGGAAGGCGTGATCAGAGATGTTATGCATCAGAACATCCCGGCGGCGTCGACTGGGATTGAACCCAGGCCTGCTGGGATGAGAGGTAATCACGCTTACCACTACATCACCGGCAACGCTCGAAGGATGTCGTTGCCGTTGGTAATGCTTCTCATTACAATGTCTGCGTCCACTTTCTGGGTCTTTGAAATTAGTTGTGACGACTGTCTTCACAGCTAATGGAATTGCAACTGATCACTTGATTTCTTCTTCTTCTTCTTCTTCGCATTTCAAGCTTATTGCTTATGGCATATTAGCTTTTTGCGTGCTCACAACTTAGTGTTCTTGATGCACTTCCACAGTTATTAATTGAGAGCTTTCGATGCCTGCTACCATTTTTGCATTAGTATAATTGTATGGCAAGTACAATCATACTCTATTGCCCAGGGAGTCGAGAAATTTTCCAACCCGAAAAATTCCTAGACCGGACCGGGAATCGAACCCAGTCACCTCCAGCATGGTCTTGCTTTGTAGCTGTGCCTTTATCGACTGAGCTAAGGGAGGCCCACTTGATTTGCTTTGAACAAAATCCACGTGTTTTTCATTCGTCGCCATCTTGAACACTAAACATGGAATGTAAACACTAATCATAGTCTTTTTCATCAATGACTCATAGCTGTACATCGCGAAATTTTTCACTCCTACGTGTAATATTTCAAAAGTGATTTGATGGTATCCAGATTAATGTGGATACAGACCTTGTATGGATTGATGCGAAAATGTCCTTATCATTTTACTACACCACGTTCTATCTACTTTGCTTTGTTCATGTGTTACAAATTTGTTAAAACGTGATGTCTGGGAGAATCCAATAGTTTAATCTAAAATTGTCCGGAAAAATTAACAACCCCGAATTTCTTTGAAATTTTGAATCGTTCACTCCATACACTCTACCAACATTTCATAAAATTCTGAGATCCTTTCGGCCCATTTTGTACGAGAAAAAAAAACATCCTCTATAGTGAAAGGACTCTTCATATCGAATTCTAGCGCAATAATCGAGTCACTACAGAATGGCTTTGCTTTGTAGGCGCGTCTGTCCTGACTAGGTTGAGATAGGTCCCACATGCATAGTTCGCTCAATCACGCCAACAAAACAGCAACAAAATTTCTTTCTTTGTCCCCTTAGGCAATCGGAAGTCAACTCCCGCCGTTGAAAGTACTCAGAAATCCCACCTTTTCCATGCTCCTATCAGTGGAACACGCACGCACAGCACCATTCAGGTAATTGAGTTTGCTCAATCAGGCTGCTAAGCGGCGGCGAATTACGACTAAATCAACACCTCCCATCACATCCTGCTCCGTCTTCATAGTTTTGTTGCGTGTTTACATCTAGATTCACTCCGGTGCGATGTTGAACGTATCAACTTCCTTCCCCCAGGTCCCGCACTTTATTACGATGCTTTGAATATAACAACGAAGAGCACACAACTGCTCACTCACCTTTAATTTATCAGGAAGACATGATACAGCTCTCTCCTCGTCTGAACACTTTTGTGTCAGCCAGAGATAGTCGAACCATTTGATCACCTTCACCTGGAGATGATTGGGAACCCGTCTCATGCGCATGTAGGTCTTGACACCGTCGAGCTTGGCTGTGAAGGAAAATGAGAGGAGAAAGAAAAGCAATTGATTAAAATCGGGTTCCGGCTGAGATGGCTCGTCGATGATAGTGTTCAACACTCGAAGACCAGTGCCGGTAGTCGGTGGTGCGGTGGTGTGGTGTTGTCCCCGTGGGAGTTATTCATGTGCAAGTGGAATGCTATTTAGCGTTGATTAAACCAAGAAAGCTTAGAACGCAGTGGAAGAATGGTGAGCTTTGCATAGGGGTGGAAAGTGGAGATAACGACTTGCTGAGCAACACGTTGGGATTGTCCATTTCACGTAAAACAAATATTCATCAGCATATAGAATTCATGATGATGTGGATATTGAACGATTGCCGAATTGTGTTAGTTCAGGCTATGTATTTTTTTAATCCAGAAACCGTGCTTAATTTGAAACTTTACTCAACACACATCTCTTCCAACTGATTTCTTTAAATTAACAAAACTTTAAGCAAATCGTAAATCAAACTTTTGCTCCGGCAAATAGATGAGAACATATTCGCAATCCAAATTGAGTTTTTAAACCTCGCCTAAAGCGTTTGCTCGTTCATATGCGAAGCTCGGGATCAAATGGAAGCATCTTCTGCTCCTGGCCTGGCATGAAGCTCATTCCATATTTAAATAACGATATTATCACATCACCCATCAATATGTCCCGAGGGTGCTCAAAACTAATCACCCCTTTGGACTCGTTTGGAATCGCAAACATTCCAACTTCCCTCGGAGGAATTTATGGGATGGGTTGGTAAAGTGAAGTCCTTCCCAGTTGGAAAGCCCATTTAATTTTAATGCCTGTTTCCGAGGAGCAATTTTCCAGATAGGAGCAGCACGATTCTTGGCAACCGTTTATGGGAAATATATTAGCCCTGGGATGGCGAATCTTGTCGGTCAATTAAGTTGCTACATACTAGTCTGGAATTGGTGCTTCTTCTCTCTTTCTCGTCATCGAACGGGGATGGTAAATTGAATTCCACAATCGAGAGACCGCTTCCATTACTTAACATACTCCGTGTCCTTTTCGTCGTTTGCCTAGTGCATGTGCAAGCTTCGATAGGTCAAAGTCTTAACCCACAAGTTGGATGGGAAATTAGTCAAGATTTACTCATATCTATGAGCATCCATTAGTTATGCAATTTCCAGTAATGTCACTTCCATACTGTAGCCATTTGAATGGGCTTGAAGAAGTCACAGCCCAATGACCTATGGAAATAAGCAAAATCCGTTCGTTATACATAAAGTTTAATCCTTCGAAAAGTATCCAACAGCCAAATAAAAAACTACTTGCATTATTCAACTGAACGGTGAAAAGCTCACAATTTTGATTCGTCATCAAAGTGGAGAAGCATTTGGCGATACAAATTGCATTTCAATGCACATTCACTCTCACAGGTGCGCTCTTGCCTTCTTCACATTCGAACGAAGGGTAGAGCAACTAATTTCGATCTGGTGCTTAATTTTTGCATGGAATAAATATTTAGCTATAATTTTTGTTTTTATGATCAGTGAACAAACTGTAGAAGGTCGAACGGACAAGAGGTCCAATGGACGATAGGATAATTAAACTCAATGGGACGAAAGACACAATGGGCACAATGTCGAAAAAATTTAAACGTCTATTGGACAATGCATTCGACCTTTTTTTCATTTAGGTCCTAATGTTTGAGGGCATGAAATGCCTTTTTATCCGTACGAAGTTTTGGCGTGGGGGAGTTTCAGATTGCGGGAGGTCTAGCAGAAAAGGGATAGGCCTTGGCCTATCGAGCTTGAGCTCTGGCCGGAAGGAAACAGGACGAATCTTTGACAAATGGTCGTAAGGCAAAAGGTCGAAGGACAAAAGGTCGAAGGAGACAAGGTAGAATGGATAAAAGGTTGAAGGGACAAATTTAACTTAATTTAACTTAGAGACAAAAGGTCGAATGAACAAAAGGTATAATGGTCACAAGGTTGAATTGAACTTATAGAGAAAAAAGGGCAGTGCTGAGATTTTCACTGTCATTGAATACCCGCTCACTACGAATTATTCTCCTGCAAAATTGGCTTGTTAGAATTGGACATTGCTGCATGACCATTAAATCTTACTCAAATTTGAACTCTGTTTACTCAAATTCGCAAAACCACGGTCAGTTGGTCCCTCAGAGAGTATTTTACAAGATGGTTCTCAGAAATCAGACATTCACTCATATTCGAGCAAAATTTTACACAGACATTTTTGTGAAGTAAGTTAAAGAAGCAGAAAAAAGTCAGTCTTCTCAGATTGGAGCTGTCTGCGGCTCATTTCTTGAGCAACTTGTATCGGACGATCAACTTTTCTTAAGTTTTCGGAAATTCTCTGAAGTTATTGGAACTACCCTTAAAATCTCCATTGAAATTCCCTAGACTTCCATGATTCCTCCGATTTTTTTTTAAATTTCCTGAAGTTAATAGAATTTCGATACATCTTTGGAACTCATTAAATTCACATACACATCCCAAAACTTACCTGAGCATATCTGGACAAGCTTAAAGTTTTCATTCTTTCATGAAGTTCCGTAAATTTTCAATGAATTTTTCGGAACTTTCCTTACGTTCCATAAGTTTTCTTGATATTTAAGGAACTTCTCTGAATAACTCGAAATTTATCAGAAATATTATCGTTAAACTTTTTGAATATTCGATAATTATTCGACGCTTCTTGAAAAATCCTGCAATTAATTAACGCAACTGCTCAGAAGTTCTCTGATATTACTAGAAATGATAGGAATATCCCTGAAGATAATTTACCTACTTGCAAATCTTTAAACTTCTCTATAGCTTCCAAGACTTCCCTGAAGATCTTGGAACTTTGCTGAAGTTTTTTTAGATTCCATGATTTTCTGGGAACTTATGTAAAGTTCCTGCAATTTCTTTGAAGTAAATTGAATTGCCCTGAGGTTCACTGATCTTTCCTGAATTTCTTTGTAATTATCTTGAAGATTTTGGTAATGTCCTGAAATAAATGGAACTGTCATGAAAATCTTTAAACTCTCTGTAAGTCTGTTGCAAAATATGTCTGACAATTTCTTAACTATTCAGGAATTGGATTTCATTGATATTCTCGGAACTACTTAAATTTTCTTGAAGCTTATGATGCTGCCTTGAATTTATAGAAACTCAACTTAGGATATCATTACATTTCTAAAAATCTGGAGTTTCTTTAAATTACTGGGACTGCCCTAAAGATTTCTGAGCTTCTCTGCAGATTTCTAAACTTAACTTCAATTAGGTTCTTGAAGCTTCTTTAATGTTTCTTCAATTTTCCTCAGGCTCTCTGAATATTTCTGAAGTTTTCATGACTTATCTAAAGTATTTTGGATTTCATTGAGGTTCATAGAACGTATTAAAAGTTCCTGCAGTTCCCTTGAGGCTGATGGGCCCACCTTAAAGTTCTATAAGCTTCTCTGAAACGCCTGAAATTTCACAGAAGCTCCCTTATTGTCCCACAGTCTGTTCGTTAAACTTATCCGAAATCCACAGTATTTCCTTTCATTATCTTATCTTTATTGAAGTTCTTGCTGCTAAGCGATGCCGGTGGTGTAGTGATAAGCGTGATTAGCTCTCATCCCAGTAGGCCTATGTTCAATCCCAGTAGGCGCCGCCGGGATGTTCTGAGGCATAACATCTCTGATCACGCTTTTCTTCGGAAGGGAAGTAAAGCCGTTGTTCCCCGGTTCATGAGTCGATGGGTCGATAGGTAGGGTCCAGGTGTGGAAGCTGCCTCCCTGGCGTCGGTAGCATTGGTGCTCAGCACCTAAAACAAGATCGATGGAAAATAAATCAAGGAAATAAACTTCTTGCCTATCTTTCTTTATTAGAGTGACTTTCAGCCAGAGGCTGGATTGTCAGTTTGTTCTTGCTACTCTTCTGATTATGTTCTTGGATTTACAATGAAATAAATTAAACTGCCGTAAATGTCTCTAAATTTTCCGACGTTGTGTCTGCACTTGCATGAATTTTTCCCAGCTTCTGGTAAATTTCTTATTTTTTCTTATGTTCTCTTAACTTCCCTAATGTTTTCTAGACTATTTTAAATTTTTGAAACTTTTATCAGGTCCTCGCAATTTTCTGATAATCAAGGAACTGCCTCATGAGTTTTGAGAACTGCTTGAAGCTACGTAACTGTCCTGAAAAACTATTTACTGAAGCCTCATGTGTGTTGAACATCCTAGTAGCTCAGCATTACTCAACCATCACGAAAAAAACGGTCCTTTTCAGGACCACCATAAATGTTTAAGGAACCTATTTTCTGGACATTTGTCAAGGTCATCAATCGGATGTCAGTTCCCATAAGTTTGAATCTAACATTAAGGCAACAATGGGGGTACAATTTTAAAAACCAAAGTCGGTCGCGTCATGAAAGTGGCCTGATTTGCAGAGATGATTGATTTTAATTCTTAATATGTCAACCGATAGGAAACTTTTCTACGAGTCTGCTAAAATTAAGGCTTTATCAATTTTCAAAAGTTTACTTTTGAAAATTGCACGAATATGCAACTGTTGATATGAAAATTAAAATCACAGGCAAACAGACATAACACATTTAAAGGGTGATACGGTCAAAATTTGGTCAATATCAACTTGACGTATTTCTTTCAATTTTGCATTTAAAAAACCTGAACACCTCTCATTTTGAAGGTGTGTGTGTGTAGAATGTTGCTCCTATTTTGATTTTGGAATTCACTCTTCAGTTGTCAAAATGCCGTCCAAGCAAGAAGAGCAGCGTATCAAAATTTTGCTCGCGCATCGCGAAAATCCGAGCTACTCGCACGCAAAGTTGGCAAAATTGCTAAAAGTTGCCAAATCAACCGTTACAAATGTAATTAAAGTGTTTGGGGAACGTTTGTCGACAGCCAGGAAGTCTGGATCGGGGGGAAATCGAAAACCGGAAGCCGCTGAGACGACAAAGAGAGTTGCCGGTAGTTTCAAGCGAAACCCTAACCTCTCTCTCCGAGATGCCGCGAATAAGCTGGGTG